AGGAATGGACCTTGACAACAACTTGCTAAGTAGAAGAAGCCAGACACACAGGCCATATATCGTAACACCCTTAAAGTAGGATGATAAAATGTTCGAAAATTATTATGATGGTTGTGCCCCTCTGAATACACTAAAAGCCATCACACTGTGTGTTTTAAATGGGTAAATTTTACGATATGTGAATTGTATCTCAACACAACTGTTTAAAAAGAAGTAGCTGAACAAAGTATGCTACGGTTACACAATGGAAGACTAACCAGTTATAACACAGAAAGAGAAAATTCCTTTTAAAAATTCCAGTCAGCAACCCTCTTCACACCAAGTTATTGATGTGATCCAGAAACACTGGGAGTGTGGCCTCGATAGACCCTGTGTAATTCTACTATAAGCCAATGGAGAAAAACAGCAGCTTAGGAGAGACTGAGAAAAGAAACTCAACAGCTAGACAATAGTATGAAGTGGGTAGGCATAGAACAGAGCTGAGTATTTTCCAACTCCAGCTCGGAAGAGGCAGACAAAGGCATCCTCCAAGTTGTATCCTTGCTAAAATGTGATCCATGAGGGAGAATAAGCCAGGAGGACATGAACAAGGTGGAAAAGATTACTAAACAGGCAAAATCTAGGAGGCCAAGCCCTATCCCACACGGCCCCTCAGAATAGGGTACTGTGGCTAGATCAGGAAGATTGACAAAGAATAACAGCAAATGATGAGTGGTGCGCCCTGAGCAGAGATCACAAAAATCCAGTTTAAAATGTAAAATTTCACTGATTAGTAAAATATCCATAAAAATTTAGTCTGAATTCCATAACAATGATATGTTCAATAATAACAGCAGCAACATAGATATAAATATAGTATATATCATATGTAAAGTATCTATTCTACAAAGTTATATATAATAAATAATCTGTGAGTCTTTCACAGTATTCTTACAGTACAGAGGTCAGGACAACCAAAATAGTTACTTTCCATGGATTTAAGGGATTTTATTACTTTGTCATAATTGATGAAGGTATTTGAGTATCATGGGTCAAAAACTAGATATGGATATAAAAATCACATTCCAACTACTTAATAGAATGTAATAAAATATAATTGCTTAATATTCTGCTTTCAATTGAGCATTGGCTGTGGCGAATACACTGGGCTTAGCGATAGGAGGGATAGATACATGAGGAAAACACACTCACCATGCCTTCAAGACATTTCAAATCTAAGAAAGGGTAATACATGTGAATAAAAAAAAAGGCCAGAAATCAACAGGATGATGGAAGGAAGGGAAGAGCATAAAAGGCACAAAGTGCTGAGGAAAGAAAGAAACCAACAACACATTCAGTGCTTAGAAGTGGAATGGAGACTCATGCATGCTTTTAAAATGTGCAGAGTTTAGGTTCAGAAAGACTGTGCTGGTGCAAGTAGTTTAGGAGCTCAGCTCTGAAAGATTTAGGTTTTCACAGGGACAGGCACTGCAAGAGCCTTCTAGGCAACAGGAGCGCAAAGACAAAGGTAAATACTTCGGCAATGAATGAAGTACAAACTAAAAGCGCACAGCGTTGGGGAATGATGGAGTGAAGGTCAAGGCTGAGCTCAGACTCAGAGGACTGAGCTAAGGAGCCTATAGTTAAATGAGCAGGGGAAAAAAAGGGTGAGAGTTGGGTCTTAGCTGTATTTACTACAGTTGCAAGATAGACTTGAACTTAACTTTCCTGGCCTCATATGGAGACTGAAGGTATAATAACAGCACCTGCTCCAATGCAGCTCTCAAGACTGAATGTAATAGTGCGTGTACAGCACTTACAATGGCACCCAGCACATGAAAGCTATTACTAATACTTTGTCACTCACTATATAAAACACCCAAGATTTTTTATTTATTTATGTGTGTGTGTGTGTGAGTGTGTGTGTGTGGCCAGCTCAGCCCACCAGGGGGCGGGGCTGGCTGGCATGTGGTGCTGGGGGATTGAACCGCGGTCCCTGTGCTTTGCTAAGCTTGTTCTAAGTAGGTGCTTTAGACCACTGAGCCATCTCACCAGCCCACCCCAAGATTTTTGTTACTATTTTATTTCTTCATATTTTAATAAACATTTCATTGTCTTGCCTCAACATTCTCCTAATGAAAAAGGTAATTTTTTCTTGTTTTTATTATTTATTTATTTATTTATTTATTCATTTTATTGAGAAGTATCAAGACAGTGTCACACAAGATTTTTTAACAATATAAAGATAGTAAATAAAGAATTTACCTAACCATTCATAGTTTAAGATACTGTGGAAGTGACAGGATCTTTATGCATGTGAAAAACACTGAGACAAGGGCATTGTCTCAACAGTGACAACCAAAAGTCATCAAAGAAGGTGCTGGGGAGAGAGCCAGAAAGATGAAGACTTAGGAAAGGAACTTGCAAGAAACCATAAACAACTCTCAATTATTCACGGAAAGCTTTTTCAACTTAATGGTTTCCAGCTTCCCTAGCATCCCACACTGCCTTATTTCTATGCGTATTCTACTCCAACCCTCCCTGAAGCACTCTTAAAATGGCAAAGGACAACTAAGAAAATGCAGTATTATAAAAAAGGATGTTAGATGGCTCAGTAGAATAAGCGCTTCCCTGGCAAGCACAAGGGCCTGAGTTCAATCCCTGGTTCCACCAAAAAAAAAAAAAAAAAAAAAAAAAACATTAGAAATAAAACTGTGTATTATCAAGATCCTCAAACAGGGGAAAACACTACTATCCCCCAAACTGGAATGCAGTAGAAGAAAAGAATCCCTAATTACTTCTCCAACCCTCTTGCCATCAGCCCTTCAGACAAATAACCATGCCACTCTTTCCCAACTTCTTTACACTCTCACTTCAAGTGAGAAAGACTTAAATGTCATTACTTCACCAAAAGCTCATTGCAGCAGCTTCTAGAATTAATGGCTTCTACATATGGGAACACAGATACTACATATGGGAACACAGATACAGGTTCTCCCCTGAGTTTCTTAAGAGGTATAAAGCAACAGTGTTCAAAGTTCATTTACCACAGTGGGTAAAATCAATCTGATCTCTGTTTAGATTTACATGAAATGAAGACTTCCTTCCTTCCTCCCTTATTAAAAGCCTCCAATCTACCAGACCCAGAAACCATACACTCAACCACAAAAATCAATGGCAGTAAGTTTCAACAATCCAGAAACCAGAACACCTAGACATCTGATAATGACATCAGAAAGTTTATAGCCCAACCTCAGAGAGTTTTAATACATTGTATCACTGGCTTCTACCACTATGAGTTACCATCTAATTAAATACTGGGGTAAAAGACATTAGAGTGTAAAGTCAAAAAGACTAATAAAAGGTAGCTCAGCAATTTACAGTTGACCCTGGGCAAATTCCTGACCCCTGCACTAACTTCTTCACCTGAGAATAAAGATAATATCATAACACCACTGCCTATCAAGATGTTAAAGATTATGTGATAATATAGCCAATGGCAGCCAGCTAGAATCAGCAACACAACTGTTAGCTGTTATTGAAAATGTAACTCAATAATAAAACAACGAATCTTTTAGCTGAGCAAGAACCTTGTTACAAATAAAGCTAAATATCTATTGGCTGTAATGGTGGAAACCACATTTTAATTTCTTGGAAGCGGCCCAACACAACCAAAAGAAAATAAGCTGGAATCCTAGACCTAGCAGAATAACCTTGAGAAAACTGGTTAAACTGCTGGAGCACTAATCTCCCACCTGGTTAAAAATATCTAGCCAAAAAAAAAAACAAAAAACTACTGTAATGTTTAATGAGATGATCTATTCAAAGCTCCTCGCACACATCTTGGTGGTTAGTAGGTGCTCATCAGTGGTAGTAATTACTATTTGTTAATTTTTCCAATTAAAGAAAAAGATAAAGCTGAAAATCAAAACCTGCTACAAAATCACCATTCTTCGTATTTACAGTTTTCATTAACTCATTCCATACATGTGCATTGTAAGCCTACTGTTTGTCAGGCGGTGTGCATACTTTGGAAACCTTTTAACAGATGAACAAGACCAAGCAGATCACTGCTCTCCTGGAATTTATATGTGAGCAGGGGAATGAAGATAGAGAACACGCCGAGATTATTTCAGGGAAAAAGAAGTGCTATGATGAACAGCAAACTGCATTGTGGAGTTGGCCTACCTGATTGGTTTCCTTTAGCTAGAAGGTGGACCTTACCTTGTAGGACACTTGTGAAGGGAGAGGGCAGAACGACGCCTTTACCTGTTTCTGGAAGTGTCTTGTCTTGCAATTGGAGGTTAGAATAAGATCTTTCTAAATATCTCCTTCCTGCTACTCAAAACCTGAACGCCAGAGCGACATGTGTGGGGTCTCCAGAGCCCCAAGGCAGTTTCCAGGTCCATCGAAACCCACAACTTCAACACCCTCTCGGTAGCAGGAGTCAGGGCGGCACGCCCTATTTTATTAAGCCTGGGGACGACTCGGTGCAGGACCATCAGACTCCAGAGGTTGCAAACGCTCCCCGCTCCCCGGGGAACCCCGAGGGAGCGGACGCCCTCGGCCCCCAGCCCAGGCACTCCGGGGCAAGGAGAGCGGAGACGCAGGCGGCGGCACGCCTGCAAAGCGAGCGTCGCCGGGGTCCCTGGGCCGCGCCCCACCCGCGGATGTGGTGAAGCCGCCCGCCTGGCCCGAGTAGTAGGTCTCTGGGCGAGTCCCGCGCGGCGCCCGCGGCGGACAGGGAGCGCTCCGCGTCTCGGCATCCTGGAGTCGGCGCCCGTGCGCTGAGCCGGGCCGCTGCCTGCCGTCCACACGGGCGCGGCTGTCCCTCGGGTGACACAACCCCGGGGCGGGCGGCACCCGGCCTTCCCCCGGGGCCGGAGTCGACAGAAAGGACGAGCTCGCAGCTCCTCGGACGACAGGAGCCTCAGCGCTCTCCCGAAACCGCAGCCCTTCCAGCCCGTCGCCGCCGGGGTCCCCGCGCCCCAGCCCCTCCCAGCCGACGCCCGGCCGCCTACCTGCGCGCCCCGCCGCCGGGGACACTGCCCGGGTCCCGGCGACGCCGGCTCCTCCGCTCCGGGGCGCACAGCACACAGTCCCCGCTCCAGAGCAGGCGGCGGGGGCGCGGGCGCCGCTCGCGGACGGACGAAGGCACAGGCGCTCGAGCTGGCCGCCTGGCGCCGGGGTCTCAGGTCCCGGCCGGCTCGCCGACGCCGCCACAGCGCGACCGGTTCCAGTACTTTGCCCACAACTTCGCGCGCGCAGCTCCGCGATTAGCAGGAGCAGCAGGGCGAGGGGCGGGTCAGGGGCGGAGCCTGCTAGCGGGGCGGAGCCACGTGGTGAAGGCGCAGAATGACTGCCACTTCCACCAATCAAGAGCCGCCCTTGAGAAGGAGGTGGGGCGATATCCGGGACATGCTCCAGCGGATTTAGAGCAGTTTCGGGAGATGTGGCACCCAACTTTGGGACGGATAGACAGCGTGGAGGGTGGTGAGAACTGCAGCGAGCCCAGGTGTGGGGTACCCGGCCGCCCAGCGTTCCGCCCCAGGCAAGGGAAAAATGAGGGCAGCGCGGGAGGGAATACTTTAAGAAGGTCCCGAGGAACACTCGTAGCCGAATAGGCCAAGATCACTTGATCTCTAGGAAAAGTCAGAATGCTGCAGGCAGATCGAGGATGGGGAAGACACGCGGTCAGAGGAGTGTTAGGACGCGACGTCAAGGGAGAGAATTGGTGTGGGCCGCTCTGAACCTGTCATGCAGATTCGTGACCGGATCCCAGAGTAGGACAAGAGGAGTGTTCGCTCTGGGCAAGCAGCCCCTGGCGGGGGCCGGGCAGGAGTGCACCGTGGTTGCAATTAAAACGCAGAAACTCTTGGGTAGAGGGAAAGGTTCACCCCATTTGCCTGCCCACCTGCTCCTCCGGGCTCTTTTGAGGCTCCACGCCTAGATTGAATGCAAGCCACTGATAGTTTTGGGACAACCTAATGACTGGAAATGCGTTGGGTAGGTGGGAAGAGGATGAGCACTTGCTGAGTGCTCTCTTTGCAGCTTTGCCAGCCACATTTCATTCATCCACTATGCCCATTTCTGGCCTGTCTGCCAGAACCAAAGCAGAATAAACCGATTATCATGCTGACCACACGGGCCCGCGAAGAAGTATGTTGAAGATTGGGAATGATTCAAAGGTCCTAAGTCACAACACATATGCAAACACGCACACCTAATGCACACTGCTGTCTGGCAGGCATACAAACCATCCTGGATGCAAAAAGGTAACCTGCCCAGGCCAACCCCGGCTGCCTGAGCCAGTTGCACACTTTGTTCCCCCATCTTTTCCTCTCTTTTCATTAATTTCCCTGAGAGGCTCCCACTTATATTCCAACTCAAGGTCTTTTCCTTCCTTCTTTCTTTACTCTGGCTCCAGCATCACCCTGATTTGTCAGCAGTAGTTTATCTGCAGGAGACAAGCCTTAAATCAAACAGGAATTTGTGTGCAGCTTCTTTCTTTCTTTCTTTCTTTCTTTCACAGCCTTGGGACTTGTACCCAGGGATGCGCCACCACTGAGCTACATCCCCTGCCCTTTTATATTTTGAGACAAGTTCTTCATCAGTTGTTCAGGCAAGGCTCTAACTTGTAATTTTCCTGCCTCAACCTCCACAGAAGCTGGGATTACAGAACCTTTTTGTTTAACCTATCATCCTGGGGCCAGAGAGATAGCTCAGTGGTCTGAGTGCCTGCCTGGCAAGTGCAAGGACCCAAGTGCAACCCCCCATACCACATGCCATGCCAGCCCTGCGCAGAGCCCACCACTGAAACTTGGCATAGTGGCACACACCCATAATTCTAGCGCTGGGGAATCTGAGTCAGAAGGATCAGTATGAGTCTGAGCTGTGCAGTGACACCCTGCACAATAAAAGACTTCAAAAAAATTAAAAACATAAACTATCATCCTGCTCTTGGCTTTTTCTTGTTTCTTCCAAATACCTTCTGTGTGTGTGTGTGTGTGTGTGTGTGTGTTCCTCTTCTTGCATGAGGCAGTTAATTGGACAGGATGAGAGAGTTATTCATGTTCAGATTGTGCCTTGCCTTCAAGAAAAAGAGGAATCTTACTGTGTCTTTTCATAGTTTCATTTCCTCTTCTCCTAAATAAGCTTCCAGGCTCTCCAGCTCCTACAATCAAATGGGAAAAAGTAGAAACCCACGCAGAGCTAATTATTCCTCAAAAGGCTTGTTAATGTCCTAAAATTAGCTTTCTCCTCCAAGTTTTATTTTAAAGAAACAATCCGAATGTCTACTAGAGGCGGATCAGTGGTTCCATAATAAGAATTTCTAGAGCTCCTCTTCTTTGAACTGTTGAAATAATATTGTTTATCTTCATAGAAACGCCCACAATGGTAGGAATTTTTCTGCAATGGTCTTAGTATTTTAAATTTCTGAAATTCCAAATAGATGAGCACGTGCTGCTTAGGTTTGCATGTTTTGATAGTAAAAGAAGCTGAACATAGTGGAGTGTAGGTGGAGAACTCTTCAGGCCCCTAGCATCTGACTACCTGATTTCCTGTCTTGATAAGACTACATCTTGATTCTGAAGTCAGAATCTCCTTTGCTACTCTAAAAATGAAGATAGTAATTGTACCTACTGGGCTGCTAGAGTTTGATCCTCTGTCTGAAAACAACTGCCACAGAGTCTAGCATTGAGATCTCAACCTCAGGACTATTGAGATCTGGGAGTAGATCATCCTTTTTTGTGAGTAGCTATGGTGTGCATTCAGCCACGTTTCTGCCCCTTCCCCACCACAGGCAATGAACACCCTCTCATCCCCAGCTGAAGCAACCAAAAAGTCTCCAGACTTTTGACCTCTGATAGGCAAAATTACCTGTCTTAAAACTATTAGCCCAGCACATAGCAAATACCCACAAATTAGGAAGTAGTGGAATAAAGTAAGGATAAAAATATCTAAAGTGTGAGCCTCAGACAAATTCCACTTCCCTAAACCTCATCAGTAAAGAGAATCATAATAATGCCAACTTCTTAAAATTGTCTCAGAAGTAAACACAACTAATTAAAAGCAATTTCTCAGTACACAGTTAAGTTTAAACATGAGCTTCTAGTCTCATTTTTGTCCTGCTAGATGAAAGACGGCATAGCTTGGCTTATTTGCTGCTACTTTGTTCTCGGCCTCATGGCAGACAACTCTCTCACGAAGTTCATACAGGATCCTTCTTACCGTAGTGCTCCAGAAAGCTACTTTGATAGATCTGTGAAGATGGTGAAGTGCCATTTCAGGACTAGAGGACCTGAAAGATCCCTAATCCCCTCAGAATATTCTGGAACTGTGATTGCAAATGAAAAGGAACTGTCGTTCATCACTTCATCAGCTTCTTTTATAGAGGAGTGGGGGACCAAAGCCCAGAGACCACCAACACCTTGAGCATAATTATACAGCACAGAAGCTGGATCTCCTTCCTTCTAAGCAGCCCTTTTTATGCCATATCCATTGCCTCGGAGAACTGAAGAAAACCTTTGTCTGGAGCAGTGCCACCCTTCTAATTCTGTATGCTCCCACTCATCTCCCTCCTTCACTTTTAGCTGGAAAAATGAATCAAACTGTTCTGCAGCTCAGGAGCAACCTCATAGCAGTCTTTCAAAAGTGTTAGCTCATGATAAGAATTATGCAAGAATTCATCAATTCCTTGATTGAATATAACTTGACTACTGCCTTGGTAAAGGCTTAAAAGTATAAAGAAATAGGGTTTGGGGATTTAGGTCAGTGGTGGAGTGCTTGCAAGGGAGCTCAAGGCCCTGGGTTTAGTCCTCAGCACCAAAAAAAGATAAAAAGATGAACCAGTGGGTGTTCCTGCCTTCATTGCCTTTACAGCTTCATCTACAGCATTGATCAAACATGGATATAAATAACTACAATACAAGCTAAAAAGTGGAAAACTCCAATGAATGAGTGGTACCAAAAACTTGCTCAGAAAAGAGGAAAATTATTTTAAGAATTCAGAGCAAAGATTCACTTCCTGCATGTTTTGTTGACATTTTTAACTTTTAATCAAAAAAAGTATTTGTTACAGTAAAGTTATCCTTATACAGGAAGTTGGCACATTGTTAGGTTTCCTAGTTCAGATACAGTTCCTGCTTAATGTAAATAGATACTATCAGTGCAACAAAAGGCCACAGCCTATTGTAATTGTAAATGAGTCATTTTTTTATCAGATGCTTAATATTTCTAGGATGTTCTTGATTGGCTCCCTTCAGAAACAGTGGAACAGTTTTCTCCCAAGCATTTGACAGAATCAGTTTTTAAAGGTATGTTATACTATAGAAGCTTGCATGTTTAAAAACAAAAGAACATAACAGTAATATACGGATATCAATATTATGTACATTACATCATGAAACAATATTTCCTTTAGGAGGGAACTATCTCCAGAACTTCCCTAGGCATTTCATTATCTTTCTGAATTGCAGAGCCCATGTACATCCTATATTATACCTACTATAAATATTAAGTCTAATAACAGCTTGCCTATAGTGACCATTTATGTGTTAGGAACTGCCAAACTGGGTTGCTAAGGTTGCTTTTGCAGTGTCAGGAATCTGTCTGTTAAGTCATAAAAACTTGGCACAACTGACAGAACCATACCTCTTCTGTTCTAAACCATGCCAGCAAAATGTATACCTTTAATCCTGTTGCTCTCCTCTATTATCTCATTTCCAAATTTGTGTTTTGTATAAATGCATCTGGGTAGCACATTCTAGACTATATCTGCCAATCTTGCTGCAAGGGTGATTTGCACTAAATCAAGCTGTAAATCTGGCTGCAGTCCTTATCTTTCTAGCCTCTCTACTACAGGATGGAATATAAAGAGAATTTGGGTTAGAAGTTGAGCTAGCCAAGCCATATCTTTTCTTCCAATGTGCCAACAGATATGTTAGGAGAAAGAAAGGTTTTATATATCTGGTTTTGGATGTTTTTTCAGCTTTTATGGAGTGACTCAGAAGACCTAGTTTATCATGAATCTCTCTACATTTCCATGTCTGTATCCACACAAGCCACCATCATTTCTTGCCTGGAAAACTTAACATACCAGGAACTCTTCACCAGCCTATTAGCCATTCTCCATATTGAAGTTAGAGTGAGTTTTTTTTAATGTTAATAACTTTATTTACATTTGTCCCACTGTGTACATATTTATGATACCATTGTGCCCATTATAAATAAAAAGTATATACATTTGTGTG